GGTTTGTTTTTATTTTTTTTAGACAGGGTCTCACTCTGTTGCTTACAGGCTGGAGTCCAGGGGCATTATCAAAGCTCAAACTCCTGGATTCAATCAGTCCTCTGCTTTTGCCTCCCCAGAAGCTGGAACTACATATTTCTGCCACTATGCCTGGCTAATTTTTTTTAGTTTTTTGTAGAAGCACAGGCTTGCCATGTTGGCCAGGCTGGTCGTGAACTCCTGGCCTCAAGCAATCCTCCCATCTTAGCCTTCCAGAGTGCTAGGATTAAAGGTGTTAGCCACCTCACCTGGCCCAAAAGAGAGCTGAATATCCACGAATTAGTGTTTGTGCTAAAAAATGCAATGAAATCTCATAGCCTGTTATTCTGTTAGCTCTATAAAATTCACCACATACGTAAATCCAGTGTAAAGGGAAAAAGATGTCTATCTGTTATCTAGTTTTATACAACATACTCCACTAACTCAGTTAATTTTTCAATTCCATAAATCAGGCACTTGGGCATCCTTTTTTAAACTTAATATGGCCAATATTAAATATATTTTTATTGGTCTGTTTAGAGACAGTTACATTATTCAGATGGCTCCAAATCAATTATCAGTCACTACCAAAATGTTATCTCCTGCAGACCAACATGAAATTTTCATTATAAATATAATAGAGTTGGGTCTTATCTTTGCTTTATAACAATTAGGAAGGAATCCTTTCTTCTCCTTAATTCTCTAACCTCTAACCCCAAATCTGTTACTAATTCACAATTAATAGGATAGCCTTTTAATCTTTCATAATTTCAGTTTTCTCTCCAAAATCCAGGAATAACCTATGACTTGATGTCATTTATGATTTTTAGAAATAGAATTCATAAGCCATACAACCCAAATATTCTTGTATGCTCAATAAACAACAATGAAGATTTTTTTAAAGAAAGAGATTCATGAACTTCAGTTGAATCAGTTAATGAATTATAGCTCATTTCTTTTTTTAAAAAAATTTAATTTGCTGAAAATAAAAGGACATATTAGCAAAAAAGGAAAATCAAATGACATCAAAAAGGATGAGGAATTCATGTGAGCCAGGCCATTTTGAAGATCTGAACAACCCTCATGGCTTTTCTTGGTTTTTGATTCCACTGACTGTCTGAGGTCTTCAGACAAATTTTGGACACTAGCATTTCAAACATGAATTGTCACATGACCTGTGCCAAGAGGTACCTTATTTTCATGAATACCTACTTGGCCACTGGATGAACAGCAATTCCTCGTGGTTGAGAGATGTTCTCCCTAATGATTATTTCTCGATGTTTTCCATTTAAATCACTCCCTTCGATGACAGATTTCCTAAAATGTATATAATATAAACAGGTTTGTTAGAGCAACTTTACTTTTCAAGCAAAAATACTTTTTTTCCCTGTTCCTATAACTCAAAGATAGACATTGTAAATGAGCTCCTATGTCTCTCCGTCTCCCTCTCTCTCTCTGGTATGTGCACACACACGCACAAATAGAATAGTGCCAACAACCACACAAGTTTAATTTTTTAAAACACAATCTTTTAATTAGCATTCTAATATTTATTCCAAGCAATTAAAATATACAATGACAAGACAAGGTCAAAGGGGCCTGAGCAGTGGGCTGGCAGGTACATTCTCTTCACAGCCTCCAATCTCCAGCTGGAAGCCAGAGCGGGGGCGGAGTCGGCTTCAGGGGACACAGATCACAGGGAGGAGGGAAACACACCTGTGCAAGGACAGCAGGTGGAGATTTATGTCAGCTTTAATTTTCTTCCATATGATTCTAAGGTAAGAGTGTACAGCCACCCTCAGTATCTGTGGAGAATTGATTCCAGACCCAAGTCCCTTATATCAAACAGTACAGTACTGGTGTATAACCTATGCACATCCTCCCATATACTTGAAATCATCTCTAGTTTATCTATACTACTCCTTACCGTATAAATGCTATGTAAATGGTGATTATACAAGTACTGCATTATTTCTTTTTTTTCTTTTTGCAGTTTTTGGCTGGGGCCAGATTTGAACCTGCCACATCCAGCATATGGGGCCGGCACCCTACTCTTTTGAGCTACAGGCACCCTCCCGTTATTTCTTATTTATATGATTTTTTATTGCCATATTATTATTATTAATTTATTCATTTCATATTTTTGAGCTAAGGTTGGTTGAACCCAAGGATGCAAACCTTGCAGATATGGAGGGCTGACTGTACTGAACTATTATTTGCTAATCTTTACCTTCTTTTCTGAGATAGGATCTCACTCTGTTGCCCAGGCTGGAGTACAGTGGAGCTATCAGAGCTCACTGCAGCCTTGAACTTCAGCAATCTTCCAGCCTTAGCTTCAAAAGTAGCAGGGTGGGAGATATTTTTGAACTTAACATGCCAAATCAGCCCTCACTCAGACACAACTGTCCCTGAGCCTCTTTCCTTGGTGGGAGGGTGGGCATTCTGAGGTCGCTTGTGTCCAGGGGAGAGAAAACTGTTAGTTCTAATCTCATTGCTCCGTGATCTCTGCCCAGCAGGAGGTAGGTGGTAAGAACTGAGACCCACATCAGCTCCTGACTAGAGAGCTGTCTCAAGGCAGGATTACTGGAATTAACTTTTAAAGCTTCCCAAGGTGTTCACCTAATAATACACTTCTATTTGATTCAGCCAGAGGCAAACCTGGAACCCCAGTGTTGGTAGGGGAAAGCAGGGACATTTGGGCTCACGTGAGTTCAAGCATCACTCTTAATTCAGTGGCCTGTCCTTCTCTTTATATCCATTACCTGATTGGTCCCAACGCCACTGAGCTCCTCCAAGAGGGAAAGCCACCCTGCTTCCAGAGTAAGACTTACGTATCAAGGGCCCTAGGAGAGCGACTTTTACCTTATAGGTGGCAGTTTTTACTCATGTCAAAAGAATGAGTAAATAGATATCTTATACTTTTTACCTTCTTGATTCTTTCATATGGGGCAATTGACTTCGGCAATCAGGATTCTTTAATACTAAATGATAACAGTGGCAATGGCATTTCGATTAGCTTCCTCCCTACAGTTAGATGTTAATGTGAATCCTCCTTCTCCTGGCACAGTACGGACTGTAAGCATCCCACTTTGGTTCTGTGTAATCTGATACCGTGAGATTGGAATCTCCATTATTTAAATGCAATTTCTAGGTAACATCAAGGTTTTTGAACTATAAACCTCTCATTTCCAGACAAATTAAAGGTTTTCCTTTAGCAGCTGGCTCTGGAGGGAAGAAGACTTGAGAAGGGCTTGTTATTACTTAAGTCAGTGAACAAGAGAATCTGAGGTCTGGTTCTCTGGGATGAGGTGGTTCCTACCTCCTGGAGGCACTGCCTGGGCAGTGGGTACCGTGGCACTATTAATCAAATACCATTAAAATTAGAGGTGTCTTGTGAATGTGGGAAAATATGACAAGAGCCTGCATCCTTTGAGTGCCTGAGAGTGCAGCGTAGTTGCCATCTGCTGTGCTGATCAACGTTTACCCTTCAGAGAACAGCCACACACAGCTCTGTCATTACGCACAGCTGACATGTAAAATGTCCTTTCATGTAGGTTCAACACAGAAGACACCATCATTATGATTTTTGTCATTGTTACAGCTGACATCCATTTTAATTTGGTGCGTGACTCTGAGTCAGGGACGTGCTAAGCCAACTCAGGTCGGGGAGGTGGGATATCTCGTGATTATCAGGAACGCAAGCTTCGGAAATGGTCATCTTTGAGTTCCAATTCCAGATCCACTCCCTGTTAACTGTTTGACCTTAGGAAAGTTATATTACCTCTCTGATAATCATTTTTTAAATATCTTTAGATTGGAGATAGAAGAACTTACCTTTTGAGGATTTAATGGTGTCGTGAATATAAAGCTGTGAGCGAGGTATTTGGTGCATTGCAGTTATTCAGTAAAAAGACACCCAAATAATGAAGAGATAAATGTATGGCTAAATGAACAAATGAATGAAAGACTGAATAAGTGAAAATATGCTCGCCTTGAACACAGAAGGGCCATGTTATTGATAACGATACATCACACCATACATCTGGTTCATTTTTTAAAACTTGTTTGTTGCTTATGGGTTATGCAAATTAAAAGAGATCTTACAGGACATACAAGCCCTACCCCCAGGCCTATAAACCCATCCCTGGGACTTCTCCCTGTGTGTTGGAACTGCTGGTTTCAGAGAAACAGGCAGTCCCCGGGTTATGAATGGGATAAGTTCTGATTGTTCTTAAGTTGAATTTGTATGTAAGTAGGAACAGGTACATTTACCTATTACCTGTACTCTGCCCATAAGTGTGGGTCCTACATCAGTCAGATGTTTGTGACTCGGGCACTGCCAGTAATCAGTTCTCCCTTGTTTCACTTTAATGAAGTTACACAGGTCCTGGATGTTCAGGACGGCCGCCATTTCCCCTCGGGCCTTCAGTTACCCTGAGCAATGTCCTGGAGCACACTGCGTCTCTACCGCTATCCTGTGAGGGACTCTCCGGAAAGTGGGCCCGTAGATTTTTCACTCATCACATGAGGGGGTTGGACTAGACTGGCTGAGCCCTGCAGCCCATTCCCACATGCCCTTTGGGAGCATACGCCCTTGATTTGGCAACTATTTCTGTGTGGCCTCACATTATTTCCTGTACTGATATTTACCTCAAGCATTTGCATGAGGTCTTTGCTGGAGAAACCTGCCTCATCTCCCAGCTAACCTAAGCTGACTGAAGACAGAGCAGGTCTTGGTCCTCGACTCTCTTGTGTTACCTACCGCAGATGCCCAGAGAATGTTTCCTGATTGTCTTCAGACAGGTTTAAGGTTTCCCTAATAATAACAGCCTGGTCTACAAAACACAGGCTATGTTCTAGGTCTCAGAAACCCTCCCCTGGACACACGTCAGCTGTGATGAAACGAGGCGCACCCTGCTCAGTGGGGAGGGGACAGGGCCGCATGGACAGCAACAGGGGACCTCTTTTTCCCAGTCCCAGCCAAGTGCCCAGCAATATTTTTCCTATGTTCAAAGTCCAGAGCAAAATCAGAAGCCAGTAGTATTTCTGATCCCCTCACTCCCTTCCCATGTGACTTGAAATTCAAGCAGGAACGTACCCTCTGTCTGTCCAGTAGAACCTACGGCCAATCCAGTCCACAGCGAGACCTTCTGGAACACCTACCGCCTCCTCGATGAGCCTTTCTCGCTGGGAGCCATCCATGTTCGCCCTCTCCAGCCACTTCAGGGCCGTGTGGGCAAAGTATATCTACAGAAGAGAACATAGGCATTTCTGATTTGTTCCCAAAAAACTAATGTGGAATATATACAAATGGGGTTAGAGGCTCGGCACCCGCAGCTCAGTGATTAGGGCACCAGCCACATACACTGGTGGGTTCGAACTCCACCGAGGCCTGCTAAAAACAATCACAACTACAACCAAAAAAAAGGCCAGGTGTTGTGGTGGAAGCCTGTAGTCCCAGCTACTTGGGAGGCTGAGGCAAGAGTTTCACTTAAGCCCGCGAGTTTAAGGTTGCTGTGAGTGGTTTTGCCACAGCACCCTACTAAGGGCGACATAGTGAGACTCTGTCTCAAAAAAAAAAAAAATGTGGTTAGAAAGTCCTTGGGTCATAAAAGCGTAATTAGCTTTGGAGATAACCACACCTGCAACTATGCTCCAACCAGACTGCTTCCCAGGTTTGTGTAACCTTAAGCAAATTACTCAAGGTCTCATAATTAGTTTCCTCATTGGTGAATGGGGATGAAAGTACCAAGCTCATTAGATTACAAAATAAGGGTACAGAAATCTTTAGCCCTGTCCCTGGCACATGTTTCCATTGCTGCTGGTAATTTATTAATCTCTGATCATTGGTTGGTGACGCAGCATTGAACCTTAGTGGCTTCTGAAAGGGAACAATGATTTGCACTTTAATGAAGGCTCCAAGCTAGGCTGTCCCTTCTACTGCTCAGTCCAAAGCACCCAAGTCAGGAGACACGGGTCCCTCCCCCAGTTTTGCCACTTATTTGCTAAATTGCCTTGAACAAATTGTTTAACCTCAGTCTTCCCAAGTGTAAAACTGAGGACATTATATTAGATGTTTCCTCAAGTTCCTTTTGTTGCAAACCTTATATGGTCACACACCATATAATGATGCTTCAGTCAATGGATCATGAATACAACAGTGGTCTCATAAAATTATAATAGAGCTAAAAAATTCCTATCACTTAGTCACTCTGCAGCCTTCATAATATCACAACACAATTCCTTTTTTAAAAATGAATTTAGTGTGTAGTCTAAAGTATACAGTGTTTATAAAATCTATAGTAGGGTATAGTAATGTCCTGGGCCTTCACAATCACTCACCACTCCCTCACTGACTCGCCCAGGCGAGCCCTATTCATGGTAAGGGCCATGTATATGTATACATTTAAAAAAAATCTTCTATACTGTATTTTTACTATCCCCTTTGTATGTTTAAATACACAAATACACCTACACAATATGCACCTAGGCTAGAGTATCTAGGTTTGTTAAGTTCAATCTATGATGTTCACAGGACCATGAAATTACCCAGTGATGCATTTGTCACTATCAAGGCATGCCTGTAATTCATTCTTGTATTATTTAACAGCACATACCTTGCAGGTGCAAAGTTATTTTTCAATCTAATACGCAGTGTATCAAATAGATACAAGAATTTCCTGAAGGCTGCAAAATGCTATGGGTCAGCGGATAACTTGATGAGGGCATTGCTGAATTTCAGCTGTGAGTACATATGTGTACACAAGCCTATAATCAATGATGATGGTATTTACAAAGTGGTAACTCATTAAATAACGGGTTATTCTTCTTTTCTGATAAAATAGAAAAGAGTATCTTTAACAAATACAAATATTGGCACTTATATTAAAATATACTTCATTATGATGCCACTTCTCAAACTCCAATGTCTATGTAAATCACCCAAGAATCTTGTTAAGTCACAGATTCTGATTCAGTGGTGAGGGGTGGAGCTTGAGAGCCTGTAGTTGCTCCAGGTGGTGTTGATACTGCCAGTTCAAAGACCACAGTTTGAACAGCAAAAGATGAGAACATTGATCAGAGCCACCCAGCCGCCTGACTTAAAATCCATTCTGTATCTCCTTATACACCTAATTGCAAAAATACAGACTGCACAGGAGAAAACTCGTTTGGTAATAAAACTAGTTTGGACTGATTTTTTTCTATTAAATATTTTATTCTGTTGATGTAACTGTTCTGTGGAACCATATAGATTCAGTTCAGGGAAGAGAAAGAACGATTGTTTGCTAGTGTTTAACTGCAAAACTTTAATTTGCTAAAGTAGTTATATTTGGCTCTCAGTCTAAACCTATTAAATCCAGAATCAATTTGTTTCACTCTGTCTCTTTTGGCCATTTACCAGACCGCTTCAAAGCAGGAAGAAACAAAAGCATAGAATCTTAAATTCTAGGAATTAATGTACCATGTAGCAATAATAAATAATTATGGAAGAGGACTAATAACTATAATTTTATCATTAGTGGGTGATTAATCTCCAAAAGACACTCTACCATCATTTCAAGCACATTCTAGCCTAGCACAAATACTACTAAGAAATTAAAGACCAAATTAAAGCCCAGTTGATTGGGTTGATAATTTAGAAACTGTAAATTATATATATAAACCTTACATAAGATTTTTGTGTAAATGATGTTAAGAGTGGTGCATTCCCACATAAGCCTTAAAACTTATTTTCCGTGATTTTCATGGCTAAGAGGTCACTAAATCTCCTTTCTCAGTGGCATATATTAAATTCAGATTACTAACCCTTATTTCCTATGTCCCAACCCCAACTCCCCACTTCTCCCATTACCAGCAAATCACAGAACTCTAGTTATGGAGTTCTTGCAATATGCTTGTCATTGTATTAGTCTCTCACTCTCATCTCCAAAGAGGAAACTAAACTGAGGATCAGGCACACTCTCCCTCAGTAAAAGAGCCACATCGTGGCAAGGACCAGGTTAGGGTTATGATGGCAGGAAAGTCCTTAAAATTTCTCAAATGATGCTCCAATGTCTATATTTAACTTGTTCTGTGGCTAATCATTTGGAGCTTAGCGGAGGATTTTCAAGTAGGCCAGGTCATCTGTTAGGATAAAATCCTCTACTCTGTCCTTAAAGTACATCCACATCTGCTCAAGAAACAAAACCATACCTTATTCTCCACGGGGTCGTGATCTAGGGCAAAAACCATTCCCATCTGCTGGCTGAGCAAGCTTCTGTAATCTGTTCCATCAAAATGCATGTGTCGAATATCATGAGAATTGGCAAACAGCAAAAATGGTTGTGGTCCTGTCAACCAAATTTCAAACATGACTGCATTTAAAACAAGCCTTCGCACCCAAGAGCACTTTCAACTCTCCCCTTTCACTGCACCCTCTTCCACAATTTCTGCAGTACTCATTTTCTTAATTCTCCCACCAGTGTGGTGCAGGCAAAGACAGGCAAGAAGACTTCCTCTTCCATGAGGGGACATAGTGCCAGAACTTCATCACTGGAATCTTCCCTTTCTAGGAATCTCTTTTATAAGCAAATTACTTACACATAGAGCCAGCACTAAATAATCAACACCACAGTTAAATAATGCAAGTCTTCAGGCTGTCCATCTCCTCTATTTACACATATTAAAACATTAATATTAGCAGATTATATACATTCATGTCTGAATTTTCAAAAGCTTTCCCCAGCCTGGGCTGAAAGGAAGACATGATTATTTGTGTTAATAACAAGATTCCTGACAATTTTCAGGACAAAGATTATGCCCTATTAACGAAGGCCCTGAGAAGTTAACAGTATTGGTGTTTCACTGGGGCCAGCCATATGTGACCATCTTTAAATTATCCCAGATTATAAGCATAATGAAACTTCAAAAGGGAGTAAATCAATTTGGCATAAATCTAGAATTTCCAAGGCTACTGAAGTTACAAGAGATGTAACATCAGAAGATGAAAAAACAGCTGAAGCATACAACTTTATGTTAAATTTTGATGTGAAAAGGACAGAATCTGTCAAAGTATTATGATTGTTATAGTCACTGAAGATATAAAAATAAGACCAATCAACAAATATTTATTAAATATCTCTTAACTATAAACTGTTCTGAGACCATTCTGATATGACTTTCTCAAATACTGAAAATGCCATACTTGACATTACAGCAAATTGTTGCCGGATGTTAATTAATTTACAAATATTCCTCAAAAACATGATTATTACTTATGTTGTTATTATTTATATTATTCATATTTGCAATGTGATTTGTTTTCCATTTCCCAAAATACAAAATCAGATTTTCTGTTCAGAAGCCAAAAGAAATTCAACTTTTCATCTTTCTAAATGAAATGTTTTCAAGCAATCGTGTTGCAGAGTCACACTTTCAGACAACTACGATGCTGACCTGAAGCTACACAGCTTTTTTTGTCCAGTTGAAGGTCATACCCAGGAAAGCAACC